TATAACTTTTTCACTAGAGTCCAAATTGCACCCTGGTTAAATCTTTACCCAATAGCATTTTATCAAATATGCATTTTTACATAGGAATTGCCAAATTCTATCGGGAGTATTAGTTTATTTTTGAATGCAATATGTTTCGCATTATTGACCAAGTAGTATTATTATTTACAAAATTATAATTAAAGACGAGAGAAAAAAATTGATATAACAGTAAATATTAATAAACAAAGAACCATTAATTAATTTATGATCAAAAACACGTCTATCTAAAATAATAATCAAAAAAAAAAAAACTGTAAATTACAAATTAGCAGAGTGAACGGGTCTCTTAAACTTTTGCTGAGTCTCCACTACTAACTGCACATTCTCTCTCACTTTCTCGAAAACCTGCTCAAAATGTGCACGTTGCACCAATCTGCGTTGTTCTTCCAACGATAAATGGCCATCATCATCAAACGAGGACGTCTCCTTAGGCGATTCAACCAACAACACATCAACATTCTCCGGAGTGGCATTCACTAATTCCTGCAACGACACCTCAAATCGTTTACGTAACGCGTCAAGTTGCGTGGGAAATAATCGGTTCTCGTAAGGTGAGAGTAATGCGGATAGAACGTGTTCGCGATATTGCGTGAATGCAGGCCCGTCTTTGGATTTGTAGGCGGCTAAGTACGCGTCACGTGAAAGTATGTCTTCGGTGCGAGTGGTAAATAATTGTTTCGACATTTTTGTGTTATTTTGAAGTTAGATATAGGCAATGGTAATAGTAATGATGATAATAATAAAGTGGTGTTTGTTTTTGAGATAATGCCAAAGAATGTTTGTTTGATTGTTAAAGAATAATGTTATTTTTCTCACGAACAATCTCATGAAGGGTTTATATACTCAAGCAGGAGGAGGGAAAATATAATAATAACGATGCAAATAACGATAAATTACCATAATTAATTACTTTTATTTTATTATTTTTATTATATTATATTATCGTTATATTATATATTATTTATTGAAATAATACCGGTACCCTTTCATGTACACAAACATGCGGAAACAATAAATTACATTATCTGTTTATTTTCATTTGTTCTTCATTCATTAATTAATTCTTTTGTTTTTTTAAAAATGAACAGTATTTTTTTGGGTAACCATTTATTTTCGCACGCATCAACAGCAAATAATAATAACGTACGTTCGTAAATAGAAACAAGAGAGCCTACGAGAATAATACTTGTTCACGTCAATTAAACTTTCATAACATATCCCTCTAATTCTCAAATCACATTCCAACTTCCAAACTTTTACAAATACGCATTGAGCTGTGTGTGTATGCGTAATCTCCTTGTTCTCCTATTTACAACATCGAACATGTGCTGTGCTGTTTATTAATACCACCTATCCCCATGATCGTGTACTTGTACATGAATATATCGTAGAAATTAAATTTTACCCAATTACTTTGCCATCTAAAATAGTAAGAAATACGTGAACCTTTAAGATCCCACACGAGAAAATAATTGTCCATAATTGGATCTTATAAATTTACTATTTTTAGAATATTATAAAATTGGATCATTATTATTTTTCTTTTACTGTCAATAATCCACAATAATGAAAATGAAACAATACAATACAGCCGACGTGCAGCAGCCCACAATAACATCATTACCTACTACTCCAAATTCCTCTTCTCCGTCACTATTACTCTTAATACCATTAAAAACCTGATTTGGAACAGTTACCGTAAAACGTTGCATAAACCACCCGGGATCTGATTCATTCAACTATCACCCAAAAAATTGATTCGGACTTTCATATAACTTTCTTTTGCGTTTGTGATAATTATCACATGACTTATATTTTATTGATTAGGGAAAGCCATTTATCAGGTGATTTTTTAGTGTAAATCAAATTATTAATTTCATTTGGATCGACATAATTAATATAACCAAAAATTCCGAAATTGCAATTAAGTTAAATTATTAAGTAAACATATATAGTTTTGATTTACATAGTTATACCGCACGCGTATTGACACCATTATGAACAAATATCCGGAACCGATGGTGTCATTAACGGGTTTTGACTATATATATGTATGTTGCGCCCAAATTAGAACCAGAATTAGAGTAAGGGTATAGGTAAAAAAAAGTGTTGGGAGATTGTTTTATTTGGTTAGACTTTTGATTGTCATTTGGGGCAGATTGTCACTTACATTAATCACCTGATTCTCATTCACATGATAAAATGCATATTTGATAAAATGCTATTGGGTAAAGATTTAACCAGGGTGCAATTTGGACTCTAGTGAAAAAGTTATA